GGAACGTAGATCGATCGGTAAATTGAGAGCTTCGCCTTTTGACTCAGCTCTCTCTTCACCACGACAGACCTGTACAGCGCCCGCTTCACTGCAGATGCTACACCTATCCGCCTATCGATCTCACGCTTCATTTTTCCCTCATTCGTGAACAAGACCCCAAGATACTTGAATTCCTCCACTTGGGGTAGGACCTCCTCCCTGACCCGGAGAGGGCACTCTACCCTTTTCCGGCTCAAGACCATGGCCTCGGATTTGGAGGAACTGATCTTCATCCCGGCCGCATCGCATTCGGCTGCGAACCGCTCCAGCGAAAGCTGTAGATCACAATCTGATGAAGCCAATAAGACCACATCATCTGCAAAAAGCAGAGAAGCAATCCTAAGGCCACCAAAACGGATCCCCTCAACACCTTGGCTGCACCTAGAAATTCTGTCCATAAAAGTTATGAACAGAATCGGTGACAAAGGGCAACCTTGGCGGAGTCCAACTCTCACCGGGAACAAGCCCGACTTACTGCCGGCGATGCGGACCAGGCTATGACACCGATCATACAGGGACCTAACAGCCCGTATCAAAGGGCCCGGTACCCCATACTCCCAGAGTACCCCCCACAGGGCCCCCCACAGGGCCCCCCACAGGGCCCCCCGAGGGACGCGGTCGAACGCCTTCTCCAAGTCCACCAAGCACAGGTAGACTGGTTGGGCAAACTCCCACGCACCCTCCAGGACCCTGCTGAGAGTGTAGAGCTGGTCCAGTGTTCCACGGCCAGGACGAAAACCGCACTGTTCCTCCTGAATCCGAGGTTCGACTATCCGACGGAACCTCCTCTCCAGAACCCCCGAATAGACCTTACCAGGGAGGCTTAAGAGCGTGATTCCCCTGTAGTTGGAACACACTCTTCGGTCCCCCTTTTTGAATAGGGGGACCACCACCCCGGTCTGCCAATCCAGGGGAACTTCCCCCGATATTGCAGAGTCGCGTAAGCCAACACAACCCTACAACATCCAGAGCCTTAAGGAACTCCGGGCGAATCTCATCCACCCATGGGGCCCTGCCACCGAGGAGCTTTTTAACCACCTCGGTGACCTCAGCACCAGAGATTGGAGGGCCCGACCCAGAGTCCTCAGGCTCCGCTTCCTCAGTGGAAGACGTGCCGGTGGGATTGAGGAGGTCTTCAAAGTATTCCGCCCACCGACCCACAACATCCCGAGTTGAAGTCAGCAGCACACCACTCCCACTATAAACAGTGTTGGTGGCATACCGCTTTCCCCCCCTGAGACTCCGGATGGTGGACCAGAATCGTCTCGAAGCCGTGCAGAAGTCGTTCTCCATGGCCAAATTCAGCTTTGATCTTTTTCTTAAATGTACACATTGACTTGGCATTTTTAACATCACTCTCTAGACCATTCCACAATCCAATTCCTTGGATTGAGGTAGACCTTCCCTTCAGACTAGTTCTGAATTTTGGTTTGACAAATATCTCTATCCCCTTAAGATTATAACAACTTTGTCTTTTAATGAAATGTCTTTGGATATTCAAAGGTAATGTGTTATTTTGAGCCCTATACATAACTGATAAAATACTATAATCTACCAAATCATGGAACTTTAATAACTTCAGTTGATAAAATAATGTCCTTGATGGGTGACTATAATGCTTTCTTGTGATAATTCTTACAGCTCTTTTCTGTAAAATAAAAATAGGCTTTGTAAATGTTTTACATGCTTTCCCCCAAACATCAATCAGAATCAGAATAAACTTTATTGGCATTGCACCGAGATACAACGCGAATATGTATGTACAGTTGTCCGAAGATGGGCGGAGTGCACGTAGCTACGGCTATAAATAATTAGCGCGGCCTTCTTATTCTTATTCAGAATAATATTTTGCTTAGATGAGAAAAGGAAAGAAAACATGAGGAGAGACGGTATAAAAAAAGATCTCTCATACCGTGTCCTAGACAGGGCACAATTTGAGGCATCAAAAAAACCTACCACAGCAAAGCAGCATAAACAGACGTTATACATGTACATATAGGCCGGTGAAAACATTGAATTTTTAAGGGAAAGTTGTAGCATAGTCCAGAGCCCCCCCTCAGCCGTTGTCCAGATTAGAGGTGACATTCATCTTCAGCTCAGTTCAGGTTCTGTCACATGTCCATGGCCTTGGGGAAGGGAGGGGTGAGGAAACAGTCAAAGCACCTTTGTTGTTTTCAAAACATTCCAGGAGGAGTTGAGATTAGTCCGGCATCAAGGCCACAGTTTGGGTCATGCAGAACTCGTGAATTGTTGTTTCTGCCTTTAAAGTCTTGCTGTACATATTCTCTGATGGAACTCCAAAACAGCCGAATTGATCCTTTACTCCAAAAGTCGAGCTCACAGCTTCTCCAGATTATTCCCACCATTCATGAGTGCTGCCAGGAAGATCACAGTCCTGATAACAACTGCTCCAACTCCCTGTCACAGCTTTCCACATACAGTCCAAGCACTGTCAAGCTTCAACACCTCCACACGAATTTGTAGATAATCCAAGATTTCACCAACCAAATAGTAGAATCTAGTTGTCATCATGAATCCAATTTGTTTCCTTCGAGGTAAGAGGGTCCTCCTTACCCTGACTCCTGTCGGGATAAGTTGATCGATTTTGTTGAGAGACCAGCTGATCCTTTGAATTAAGAGGTATGCAGAAAAAAAAAGAGGCTATAGATGCAATAGATTAAATGTGGAACAATGATTGTGTTATACAACATGTACAGAGCTTTATCATTTAATAATTCCCTGACTTTGTATAGTACTGCAATAGATTTTGATATTTTTATTCTTACAGAATGTATGTGATTTTTCCATGTTAGCTGTTCATCAATGATTACACCCAAAAATTTAATCTCATTAACTCTACAAATCTCAACACCCTCAATTTTAAATGGATCATCAACAGTTCTCTTTTTGTTACTAAATATCATGTAATTAGTTTGATCTAAATTTAGTGATAATTTATTAAGTTTAAACCAAGTTTGTATTTTAGCAAATTCTGTCTTCATCAATTCCAACATCCGTTTTGCATCTTTACCCAAACGAAAAAATGCGGTGCCATCTGCAAAAAGGACACATTTGAGGAGTCCTGATACATTCACTAAGTCATTCACATATAAAATAAATATTTTTGGTCCAAGTACAGAGCCTTGAGGAACTCCACACGTGATATTGCAGAGGTCAGATCTTACACCATTTATTTGTACAAACTGTTTCCTATCTTTCAAATAGCTAAATACCCAGTGTAATGCTGGTCCTCTTATTTTTCAAGGAGAATAGTATGGTCAATAGTATCGAATGCTTTTTTTAAATCAACAAAAATACTAACACAATATTGTTTTTGATCAACAGCAGTAGTTATTTGTTCTATTAATTCCATGAGAGCCATTGATGTAGTTTTTTGCTCTAAACCCATACTGACTGCTACTTAGAATGTTTTGTTTAGTAATAAATTTATCTAATCTGATCACAAAGAGTTTTTCTAGAATTTTTGAGAACTGTGGTAATAAGGATATTGGTCTATAATTATTGAACATACATTCATCACCATTTTAGAAGAGAGGAACTACCATAGCTACTTTCATGTTGTCTGGAAATATTCCTTTTGAAAATGATAAATTACATATATATGTAAACAGCTCGATAACATGACTCATTATGTCCTTTACAAACATCATATCCATGTCCACCCAGTCTTTTGATCTCTTATCTGTAAGATTTTTTATTACA